CACATTTTTGATGCAAATTGCAGAAGTCCCCATATTAAATAAAAAATAAAAAGTATTTTCGTTATAACTTTAAAATCCGCTAACCGATGGGGCTGAAACTTTCAGTTTCATGGGAAATTGGCTTCGCTACCTCTGTGCAAATTTTCAAATTGATCGGACCCGAAATAGAGAAATACGGCCGGTGTCTTTTTTGGGACACCCTGTAGTAGTTAGAACAGGAACCAAATAAAAATATACCGATAACTCTTAATAGGAGTTTGGGCGCTTTGCTAGTCTAATTTTTCTAATTTTGTTGCCATTTGGTTTTTTTTTTGTAGGGCAAAATTATGCGTAGGCCGTTTTTAAGCCATAAAAGTTTTGCGCTCGATCCCTACTACTTTCTTTCTGCTTCTTGCTGATGCTTGATCCCCTCGTTCCTCGCTTATCCTCCTCCTCCTAACAAATCGATCTCGGCGCTTTGTGACAAATGATCCGTGTTCCTCGAGACCCCCGCCCCCCTCTGCCAGTCAATACACACTCAAAATACTCACAAAAAACACGTCCCTCGGCTTCTCCCCCAAAGCCAAGACATGCCCCTAGGCCACAAAGCCGCGGTGTGTGTAAAGAGTAGTGCCCCGTACGCGAAGCCGAGCCCTCACAGCCATTTGTTACGAATTGTGGCCAGACAGGCAGGGCGGATACGACAAAACAGACACATGCACACACAGACAGACACTAACAAACAGCAAATACGAAGCATAAGGCATGAGATTTGGCTGGATTGGCGGGAAGAAGTGTAGCAGCTACAGTAGAAGCTTTAGAAACGGTAAAAAAGCTACCTAGCAGAGATTATTTAGGAATTCTAGACGCTCAAAAACTGTTTTTTTTTGGCTGGCATACCCTCAAGGAGTGCAAAAAGCCTAGCAGAGGCAATCGAGACTAGGAGACGGGCTAAGAATGGCAAAAGACTAACTCGATTGCTCCGATCTTATGTCTCTGAACGTTGGCAGATCGGACGGGATGCCGTGCTTTCAACGTGGTCTGGTCGTAGGCGAGGTAAGGCGGTGAGGGGCGCCAAGATAGTTTGGGTTCTAGGGGATCTCACAACGTCTCTTCTACCCTTTTCCCTGTCCCTTCCCCTCGCCTACGACCATACCACGTTGAGCACGGCATCCCGTCCGATCTGCCAAGTTAAGCAACGTTGGGCTCGGTTAGTACTTGGATCGGAGACGGCTTGGGAATCACGGGTGTCGTAGGCTTTTTGCTATTTTAGGGTGGAATTATGCTAGCAATTTTTATTTCTTTTCTAACACTCTTTTCATGCAATTTTTTTTTCTTCATAGCTTTTGGTGTACGCAGACGTTTTTTCCGGGAAAACGACTTTCTGCTGCCAAGCTGCCCCTTTGGTACGGTCAACAAATCGGGGAACGATAAGAGGGCCCTCTGTAGACATCGAGCTGGCCCGGAAGAAGCCGGTTATTGGGTCTAGGAGGAACGAAAGAGGTGAGGTCAGAGACAGCCGTCATTCGACGTGACACGCGGCATTGTCTGACTGCCAATCTGTAGCCTAAAAAAGCTTTTCCAGGTTTGTCTCTTAGGCTTTTCAAGTTTTTCTTCCAAAAAATAGCCGAGAAACTTACTCTGAAGGGGTCGATTTTGCCGATTTTTCGCCCGATTGAAGACCGTAGTCATTCAGCAAATTTTCAAGGCCTGGATTTGTTCAGAATTTCAAGATCTATCGAACGAACTCCTTACTCTGAACTCCTTGAAGTCGCCGTCCCTTAAAAATACCCTTTGTCGTTATCCCATGACTATTTTGCCCCGTTTTTTCCAGCCATCAATTAGTCCCTCGGAGTGTGAGGGATGATGATCGGCTGCCCCCCAATGCTCCTTCCGTTCCTTTTGGCTGTACTACTTGCGGGTGGCCACACACACTCACACAGCTGACCTCTCTGCATATCTCTCTATCTCTCTCGCCATGGTCCACCACAATAGTGCCATCCCGCCATGCTACGTTTTCCGGTCCGGAATTAGACCGGATTGTTTTTGCCTGATTTTTTCACTTATCTGTACACGCACCGCCACGCACAACGCGTTTGTAGGTTTATTCGGGGACGGCATGAAATTACAAAGAGAAGAAGCGAAAAATTCGACATTCCTGACTTGCCGGTACCTTTAAAGAGACTAGGAAGTCTCTCTCGCTCTCGCTCTCGCGCTCTCTTTCTTTCCTCTCTCTCTCTCTCTCTCTCTCTCTCTCTGTCTGTCTCGCGCCCCTTCTTGCTCTCTGTATCTCGCTTACTATCACTTTCTCTCTCTCTCTCTCGCTCTCTCGCTCTCTCTCACTCGCTCTCCCTCTCTCTTTCTCCCTCGCTCTCTCGCTCTCCCTCTCTCTCTCTCTCTCTCTCTCTCTGTCTCTCTCTCTCTCTCACCCTCTCTATCGTGACGCGCACTCTCTCTCCCGCTTGGTATCAAAACCCTTTTAATTCACCCGTAAACCTGCCAGTTCCTTGTTTTTGATCTGACCGACCCGAAATCCCGAGGAATCCGCTCTCAAGATCATTCCCCCCATTTGAACATCGTCCAAATTTGATAAGGGGATTCGCTGAGTTTGGTGGTACCGATTACTCGCTAAATCCCAGTGACGGGATTTGCTTGCAATTTCCAAAATCAGCATCTAAAAAATTCTAATTTGATAGCCTGTAGAACTATGTGGATGTTGTTGTGATTAGCATTTTAATAATAAAATTTGAATATCTCTCACTCTCTTGTTCTCTCATTCCCTTGCGGTCTACCTTTCACTGCCACTCTCCCTATCGCTCTCTATCTCCCACTCACCCTCGCACCCTATCGCTTTGTCTTTCTCCCGCTCTCTCCCTCTTTCTTATATCTCCCACTCATTATCTCGCTATCACTCGCTCTCTCGCTGTCTCCCTCTAACTCTCGCTCGCTACCCCTCTCTCTCACCGGAACTTATAAAACCACTCAAAATTTTAAGGGATTTTATGTTGGCCGCCAGCCACCCAAAAATCGGAAGAAATCCATGTTTCCGGCTGTCCCGGTTGCCGTAGGATCTTTTGTGATTATTGTTTGTCAGTGCTGTGTGGCGAGCGTCCGTTCACACCTTCCCCTTCCTTCCAATTGACACTTTCTTTGGGGCGAGAGGGGAGAGAGAGAGAGAGAGAGTGTTGCGGATTGTTATGTGCCTTCCCTTGTCCCCCTTCTCACAGCTGTTCCTCATCTTCAAAACGTACGCGCGCGCCGCCACGGCTCTGGGTTCTCACCCGTAAATTTTTGACGCGGGGCTGCTAGGTAAAAGTACAGCTGGGCGGTTTGTGGTAGTTCCAAAGGTTAGCGTGTACTTTTTAGAGGTTTTTTATTTTGAAAAAACCCCGTTAAAAACGCCCCAAAGACTACAAATCTTTTTAAAGGGACTGGGAAGTGTGAAAATCGACCCCACAGGTTGACTAGGTCTAGACAGCTACGCAAAGCTCTAAATCCCATCTACCGTCTTATTTCGATACGCTAATGATTTTTTTGGGCGCGAGATTTATCGTTTTGTGTATTTGTCGATACCGAGCAGTGGGAAGGGGTAGATTTTCGTGCTTCCTAGTCCCTTTAAAATCGTTCTACAAGGTTTTACGAAATCGGAACGTACGATTACGTACGTGCGTAATCCGCCAAATTTTCAGGTTTTTTGTGCTTTCCAGCCATTTCAAAGTTGGTGTTTTCTTTTGCTATAATTTGTGAAGCGTAATTAAGCGCGTTGCGTAGCTGTCGATACCCAGTAGATCAGAGGTGTTGATTTTTCAGCCTTTCTAGCACCTTTAAAAGAGGTATGGGTGGATTTTAGCATGATTTTAAGATTCGTTCTAGGCGCCAGTTTTAAGTTTTTGTCTTTCCGGTCCCTTTAAAAAGCGAAATTCGCCAATTTTATTACAGGGTCAGGTTTTTTTTGGGGCGACGATTAGCTTAAAAAAAGGAATACTTTATTTGGGGCTTTTTGAAGTGGAAAAACACATTTCCGTCACTGTCCTCTTGACACCTGACAAAGTTTGGTCTATCAATCGTGTAATTGCTCTCCGAGCGCACATTCCAACAAAATCACACTGTTTTTTGGTGTTATTATTGCTTGTCAGGCGCCCCAATTTTCAGGCCAATTTTTGGTATGATTGGATCCAGTAATTTTTGCATTTTTGGGGGTTTTTGGCGGTACTGTAGAGACTAGTTTTCGGAAGATAAAAAATTCCATTAATGGCGAAAAATCCTATTTTATCTTAGATTTTGCGTTGTTTTTGCGGTAATTTATGCATTTTTTTGGGGTTTTAGAGACTAGATTAGTGTAAAAGTAACTTTTTATAAAGTTTTCTTATCGAATATCGATTTTCGCTGCAAATCTCGGATCTTTGCCCCCATTCCCACCCATATTTTTTTGAGGTGGGCGGCTTTTTTTTTGCGATTCTGCACGATTTCTACCGCGTGTTTTATTGCATTTTCGAATGTAAAAATGATTTTGAGGATTTTTAATCCAATTAAATTAACTTTTAAATTTCTTTTCATTGCATTTTTTCAATCCGTGTTTTTTTCAGTTTATGTCGTAATTTTTATGCTTTTTAAAGCTCATGCAAAATGACAGTCTGCACAAGCGGCGGCACAGCACCGGCGATCTCGGCAAATTTCAGGTCCATCCGAATAGGTTAGTTGGTGAATTTACGTCTCTCGTTCTCGCTCTCTCTCTCTCTCTCTCTCTCTCTCTCTCTCTCGCTCTCTCTCGCTCTCGCTCTCCCCCTCACTCACTCACTTTCTCTGATTCGCTCTCGGACAAACTCTACATTTTAGCAATTTCCTGAAACCGGAGGATGACGGGTAAGAAGAATCTAAAGTTTTCGGCTTCTAAAAACAGCTTTTCTAACCGGCTTTCTCGCCTTAAGCGCTTTTCTTGCTGTCGATAGTTGCTTTTTGTAGTCTGTTGGTGCTGTAATATAAGCTTAATGTGGCTTTCCTAACCCCTTAAAATCCGAAAAATGACTAGATTCAGGAAAGAGGAGCGCCGTTCATCGATTACCACCAAAATCCAGCAGCTCGTCGTGACGATTCCCGTGGAGAACTTTAGACGGCATATTCATGTAAATTTTTATGAGTTTTGAAAGGGGTTTTAAATTGTTTGAATTGATTAAAAAATAAAAAATTCCCAAAAATCTTGAAAACAGAAAATTTCAGCCGGAAGACATCGGATCATGGGGCCGGGAAACGGAGCATTTTTGTGGTAAGTGGCCATAAGAATGTATAAATAGTTGTTGTAAATTAAATTTTTGCAGTAAAAAACAGTTCTGTATTTTTCGATATAAACCTCCGCTAGTTTTGTCCAGCACAACTTGACCAAAAAAAGTTGCCCCCTCCGATAATGCAAAAGATCCGTATTTTTAACACACGCAGTCTGTAATATTGCTAAAAAAAGAAGAATGAAGATGAAAGAAAAAAAGATTTTCCAGGAATCACAACGATGCACGGCCCTCTACGCGCTTATCGCGGGAAAAGCATGTACAAATGGCTGTGGCGGTTGATTATGGTCTTTTCTGGGTGTTTGCTGCTCTATCAGGTATCTGGCGCCATCCCTTTAAAAGCCGGAAATTACCGTAATCCTACCGTAGTCCCGCATATTTCTAGGTCGGCACCATCGTCGGCACGCACATTGAAAGACCAGTCGAAGCAAAGGTGACATTCGAAAATTCGGATGAGGGACTCCGCTTTCCACTCGTTACGCTATGTAATTATAACCCGATTACGCGGGAATACTTGGAACGAGTGAATGGAACTGGCACATTCTCGGATTCGGTCTTCAAATACCTTGTCCAATCCAACGCCGAACTACAGGCCTTTCTGAGCGCCGCGAATGTGAGTACTTTTTGTTGCAAAAATTGGAATGAAATTTTCGCATGGTAGAAATTGAATATCGAGATGCACAGTTTTATTTTTAAACGCTAAGCTTACAGAGGAAAAACAGTTAAATATATTGAGCTTTCAAAAAGTAAAAAAATCGTTAAAAGCCTACCTGTGGCACTGAAAAAAGGCATTAAAATGTACATAATTAAATTTAAAATTGGGGTTTCATTCGATATTTTTATCGCCATTTGTCACAATAATTAATTAATGTTTATTGACTATTTTTAGTAATTAAATAACCGGGGAATTTCAAAAAGCTTGGTATAAACTCCGTAAAAAGTAATTTTCTAAACTCAATAAATAACTTAAAACACAAACACCAAAAGAACATTTTAAAATGCCATTAAAAATACATAAAAACTTTTAAAACCCCAAGGAAAAATTAATTGCGCTATTTTTTGTGTTTTTATAGTTTGTACCTTTCAGGAAACCCACATTTTCCATACAAAATATACGGTAATTTCCGCTTTTTCAGGTTTTTATCGGCATTTTTCTGTGTTTTTGGAATCAATTTTCTCAGCTACCGTACGCTTTTTAGGGCGAAGAGCTCCTCAAGATGGACGGCGAGTTCCAGGCATTTCAGCGCAACGCACCCTACACCGTCAACGACTTTTTCGAGCAGGGCGGGTAATGAAAAATTGTAAAGACTAAAGAATAAAAATATTCTACAGGTATAAATGCGAGGATCTGATGAAGATGTGTTCGTTTTCGGGGATAAAATTCGATTGCTGCTCGAAGGCACAGCAGACGGTGACGTCGCTCGGAAAGTGGGTGATATCTCTCTCTTTCTCTTTCTCTTTCTCTTTCTCTCTCTCTCTTTTTCATCCACTCTCTTTTCTCTCTCTCTCTCTCTCTCTCTCTCTCTCTCTCTTTCTCTCCCACTCTCTCTCCCTCTCTCTCCCTCTCTCTCCCTCTCTCGCATCTCCCTCTCACTCGTTCTGTCCGCCCTCTCTCTCTCTCTCTCTCTCTCTCTCTCTCTCTCTCTCTCTATAGTTTCCTGCCTGTACCCCATATTCCAGATGCTACACGATCAGCCTCTGGGAAACGCGCGAGATGAAGAAGCAAATCTCGCCCGGTGAATATTCCGGCTTGCAAATCCTGCTCGACTCGCAGCTCGGCGAAATATATAGGGGCAGCGGAAGTGAGTTGCTTCTAGTCATAAAAAAGTGCGTCTGTGGCATGGACTCGTATATACCGGCGGTATCTAAGTGCGCTGAGATTCGGGCAAAGCGAGAGAGAGAGAGAGAGAAAGAGAGAGAGAGAGAGAGAGAGAGAGAAGCAGTCGTAAAGAGGCGCCATCGTGGCATCATATGGCTGATGTCTGGCTTCGCACCCATTCGATAAATCGCAAAAATTTCCAAATTCCAGCTGAATCCGATCCAGTATTCACGAATTCATTTGAGAACGGCTTCCGCTTCTACGTGCACGACAGGTAGGTTACATTTGATACGTTTGAAAAAGGAGGGAAATGGCGAGATAAAGCCGATCAGTTGACCGCTCGTCGAACGCAAACGGGCTCTAGAGTGTTGTTGGAATAACTCGCAGAAGGAATCCTTTGATATGACAATTTTCAGAAAAATGATGTCGTTCATCACGTCGGAAGGTATTTCTGTCAGCCCGGGCAGTCGAGTGTACTCATCGATCGAAACGGAAAAGGTTAGATATTCGAAAAAATTATAACATCCACATTTTTTGGAAAAATGAAAATATAAGGATAATTTATGTAGAACAGTTAACAGTACGATGTTAGAAAATGGTAGAAATGGGCTAAATTCCAGCTTATAACACCCTTTAAGAATTTAGATTCGAGAAGAGCAACCCTTGCAAATATGAAAAATGAACCCGTTTTCAGTTTAAACGCCTGCCCCAAAACGACTGGGGCGAGTGTGTGGAGGATTGGCCGGAAAAGTACAAGTACGCATTGCTACTGTTTCCAACTTATGTTGTCATTAGGGATATCGCGCCCCACCTACCGTACTCTCGAAAGAATTGTCGTGCCCTGTGCCGGGCGCGTTATTTTCAACAGAGCTGCGGATGCGCTCCGTTTTTGTATAATTCTATTAAAGGTATGGAATTTCCCTATAAAGAGAGAGAGCCAGAGAGAGAGAGGGAGAGGGAGGGAGAGGGAGGGAGAGAGAGAGAAAGAGAAAGAGGGAGAGAGAGAAAGCGAGAAAGCGAGAGCGAGGGTGAGAGATGGTGAGAGTGAGAGATAGCGAGAGTGAAAGAGAGTGATATAGAGCGAAACAGTGAGAGAAAAGGGAGAGAGTGGGAAAAACAGGCAGAAAGAGAGACCGAGAGAGAGAGAACCAGGGAGAGAGAGAGAGAGAGAGCGACTATCCCTATTTCAGTCTATCAAACCTGCACTCCGCTTCAACTCTACAATTGCCTGAATCAGACGCGCACTTCGTTGTATAAAGGTCGGTTTTAAAGGGACTAGGAAGTATGGAATCACGACACGTAATTCTGTTCAACTACCGTAATCGATTCCGCTACTGAATTCGCGTCTACGGACTGATCAAAAGGCAAATAATAATCGCCATCTAACTCGTATTCTTACGCTCCCGTAATCGATTACGCAATCTACTTCCAGACCTCGAGACGTGGTGTCAGGATTGCCCGCCGGAATGCGAAAACTGGGAATATCACGCGTACAACAGCTACGGCTTCAACTTCTCGGAGGGAGCGAGGAAATGGCTGAAGGAACAGAATGGAGAATGGGATGATCAGAGGATCGAGTAGGGCTCTCTCTCTCCCTCTCTCTCTCTCTCTCTCTCTCTCTCTCTCTCTCTCTATCTGTCTCTCTATCTCTCTCTTTATCTCTCTCTTTCTCTCCATATCTCTATCTCTCTCTCGCTCCTTCCTCACTCCAGCACCGCAAAAAATTGACTGTATCGGTTTTTTTACAGAAAAAACTTCGTCATGGTGTCGATTTTCTACCGTGAACTGTCGTACACCAAGTTCGAGGAGGTCAAGGGCAGCGATGTCTCCACAATGCTCAGTGAGTCCACAGTCCCTAGTCTCTACCGTACCACCCTAGGTAACATTGGCGGTAATATGGGGCTGTGCTTCGGAATGTCGGTCATCACTTGCGTGGAGATGATCATCTACATACAAAAGTTGTTCTGGATATGTGTCTCGAAAAGCCGGAGAAAATATATGCTGGAGAAGCGGAGGATTGACTTGGTTTGTTCAGGAGACTCGAAAATATTAGTTTTTTTCAGGAAAAAGAGCAACATCTAGAAGAGACAATCCGAGAGTACCGTCGCCATAAAGAGAAGCTACAATCGGATAAATCAGCGATGGGAAGACTGAAGAAATTGTCGCATCGATTGAGAGAGCCTTCAATGAAGCGGAAAGTGGCGGATATGTCGTCGAAAGGAGGAGGAGGAGGGCCAGAGATGGAGGTACGGTTGGGGTACGGTAGACTACGTTTGGATACGGGAAGAGTACGTTTGGATACGGTAGAGTACGTTTGGATACTGTAGAGCACGTTTCGATACGCTAGACCACTTTTGGATACGGTAGCGTATGCTTGGAAACGTTAAAGTACGTTTGGATACGGTCGAATGCGTTTCAATATAGTATTTCCGATACGGTAGAGTACGCGTGGATACGTTTAGTCACAGTTGATTACGGTATCATACACCAGGTTACGATTGAAAACTTGAGCCATTACCGTAGCCCGGTGGAATACGGCTGAATATGAAAAGCACCGTAATCCTAAAACACGCAGCAGTACGCAACTGTAAAGACTGGTAAATAGAGGATACGTTAGTACGTGGTAGTACGGAGCATACGATAGTCGATGCTTGCTATAGCCAGTTTTTCAGCCCGAAACCCCGCCCCCACGCTCCCCACACAAACTCCAGAAGCAACAATTTATGGACAGTTTCTATGAAGAGGTGAGAGAGAGAGAGGGCGAGAGACAGAGAGAGCGAGAGAGAAAGATAGTGAGAAAGAGTGAGAGAGCTAAGAGTTCCTTTAGATGACCAGCGGCCACGGTCGAGCTTTCCTAAAGGACCGCAGAAGATCCCGATCTGAGCAGCCGCCCACTCAGGATCTGGTAGATCTTAAAATTCGCATAACATTTTTTGTTTTTCTGTGTACATCTTCGGTTTTTATTAAATTATGAATTTTTTAGCTCGAGCTCAAGATCGACCTTGCCGAAAAGGACGGCGAGAAGGAGATTGTCGGGGTGGTTGGCGAAAGGAAGAGCAGCAATAATAGGTAGGCTATCTCCTCAAAACGCACAAAAAACTGCAATTACAGTACGCTAGCGGTGCAGAGTCCAATGCGCTACAAATCCCGATCGATCCTGTTTGATGACTCGATCCCCGAAGAGGCAGATCGGAAAACGTCGAAAGCCAGCATCGAGTGGGTTGCTTCGAGCCAGACAGCCATTTTAAGGGACCGGGAAGGCAGAATCTATAGCCAAGAATTAAAATTTATTATTTTTCATGTTTTTAAAGGGACCCTGCCGGCAAAATCCATAGCTTAAAAGTCCAACTTCGAATTTTCAATGTTTTTAAAGGAATCGGAAGATAAAATTTACCGAATATAACCTTATTTTTAGAAAAAAAGTTATCTTTCCAGGCTGCTGACCGTCCAAAGTCCGCTGCAATACAAATCCCGGAGCATCCAGCTGAACGATCCAGCCGAAATGGCGGCCGATCAGGGGCAGTCCAGATTGCATAGGTATCGCATGTAAATTAGCTCAATTTAACTTAAGGAAAATGTGATTAATTTTAATTTTAATGACATTAATTATTTTAATTTAAGTTTTTAAAGTCATTTCATTGAATCGAATTAGAAGTCTCTTAATATTTGCATTTCATTCATAATATGAATTTCTGATCGAGTATTTTTGATGTAATTTTTGTACATTTTCAGCTGCCTGGCCGTTCCGGGGCAACTCCAAAAATCGAAAAGTGTCCAGTTTGAGGACGTCGCGGAGGCAGAGCCTACCACCTACACCACTGGGTTTGTTAAAAATAAATGTCTAAAAAATTACAAAATTAAAAAATTAGAGAGTTTTGGTGAAAAATGCAAAATCAAATTCAACCATAATTTCAATTTAAGAGGCCCTCCGTCCTCGCTGACGCCGCGCCCGATGCTTCAAAAAGGGCGCAGCTTCGAGGCCGACGAACTGCCCGTTTTTACGTTCGATTTTGTGAAGGATAATACGCCAGAAAAATCGATGGAAAGGTCACCCGAATAAAGTACTGTAAAGATGAACATTGTTTTTTAAAGATTTTTATGCATTTAAAAAAGTGCGACTCTTGCCATTTTTCGATTTTTTTAGAATTTGAATTTTTTAGAGATTTTACTTACTATAGCCTTGTCATACAATACTGTGAATTGATCTAAATGTACTGTATTTAAACTTGCATATTTTTTACAAAATTTTATTACCCTTTTCATCGATTTTTTTTACTCGCGAAAACGGGTTTTTCTCATCCCTCGACACTTTCTGCTATGTATTTTATGTAAATGATAAATATTTCCCGCTGAAAATTGCTTAAAATCAACATAAAAGGACAGAGGGCTGGGCGCGGAAGCGCAGAATTTAGCACGGCGCGCGGATTATAGCGCTGGACGCGCGGGTAAATATCAGCGCGATGATACGCGCTTCTTCCCCCCTATTGGGCTGTAATTGATTCCATTCGAACAAAATCCTAATTCCACTCCGCTACCATGGATCGTCAACGTAAATCTTGTCGTCGGAAATGCCCTAATAGGTATGGAAAGGTTATTACCACAAACTTTGTTCTAAAAAAGCTTTTTAAAAGAATTTTTTAACGATTCCTGCTTTTATAAATACACTTTTTACATACATTTTAATAGATTTCGATTCAGCAACTTTTTCTGTGTTTTGTAACAGAAAAAACCTTATTTGAAAGTTGAAAAGCACCCCAGGGCGTATAAAAAGAAAAACAAGAGGAAAAGTAGACAAGACAGGTAGGATTTTTAACGATTTTCTGGCCAAAAATAGCTTTTGTATTTAACATTCAGTATACCTTGATTTTTCGCTGATCAGCGTGTTGTGATATTTATAGCCGAAATGGTGTGGCAGGACGTAAAGCAGGAAAATCTCGGCTTGGCGATCGAGCCACCCAGCTGATCGTCCAGATTCCGATGAGAACCAATATACCGATAGAAGAGGATGGATTGCCTAAGAGGTGGTACGATGCCGCGAAGAAGTTTTGCGGTGAGAGAGAGAAAGAGAGGGAGAGCGAGAGAGAGAGAGAGAGAGAGAGAGAGAAAGCGAGAACGATAGAGCGAGAGCGAGTGAGAGAGTGCGAGAGTGAGAGAGAGCGAGAAAGAGAGAGAGCGAGAAAGAGAGAGAGCGAGAGGAGAGATAGAGAGAGATAGAGAGAGAGTGTGAGAGAGACAGAGAGAGAAGGAGCGAGAGAGAATGAGAGAGTGAGAGGCATAGAGAGAGTGAGAGTGAGAGAGAGAGCGAGAGAGACGGAGAGCAAAATCACTGAGTTTTTAGGTGTTGCCACCATCCACGGCCCTCTTCTGGTATACCGTGCCCGTCCTGGAGGGCATAAATTACTGTGGAGAACGGTTATGCTTGGCTGTCTCCTACTATTACTATCTCAAACATCGTTAATTTTGCGGGATTACCTCGAAAAACCGGTCATTTCTGAGGTACGGATTTCATTAATATGTACACTTTTAGGTACTTACGACTAAAATGTCTAAAAATTGCTGATTTCCCGTAATTATTGATTTAAATTAAAACTTTAGGTCTCGTTCAAAACAGCCGACGCTGGGCTCCAATTTCCGCTGGTTACCGTATGCAACTACAACTCGATACGTCAATCCCATATACAGGTAGTTGTTGTTGGTCCTAGAATCATCTAAAAAGATGAATTCAGAAACTAAACTCGACCGGCCAGTTTTCGCATTCACTCCTCGCCTACTTGATGCAATCTTCGGCTGAAATCCGCTCGTTTCTGGGTGCGGCAGAGGTGTCACACTCCCTTTAAAGCCAAATCTATTTTTAGTTGAAAGATCTAGAAAAAGGCCACGCGGAATATCTACTTTTCACCACTTCATCGAATAATACCTTCGATATCAACATGTTTTTTGAGTTGGGCGGGTAAGACCGATTTTTGGGGCCAGAGAGTCATGTTAATTTCAATAAAAGAGCGTAAGTTTTCCTTAATTATCTATCCGAACGTATACCTTAACGTATTGTATACCACTACGTACTACTTACGTGCCTTAACGTAGCTAGATACGATTGTGAAGCCATCTTCAAAACTTGCTCCTTCGCCGGCCAAATTTTCGATTGTTGCCAACATGCACGGCCGACGATGACATCGCTCGGGAAGTACGGGAGTTTACTAATGACGATGCCGCCGTCAATTATTCCTTGACCAGCAGGGGAGGAGCCGCTTCGCGACTCTCCCCCGCTGGATCCCGTCTAGGCCCTATGAATCGAGCGCCCTTACACATAAAGTTACCTTGAAGAAAGAAAAACCCATCTTCCATGCAAACCTCTTTGTATTGACATGCGGTGCAAGCTTGAAATGCTAGTCCCGTTATTAGGTCTGCGGCGCATGTTTCATCGGCTAGGTCGCTACCTCATCCTGCGGCCCAAACTTGAAGGATTAGCCTCCTTTTTTGGGCTGTGGCGCCAGCTTGAGCGTTTTGCTTCAAGATTAAGCTTGCGGCGCAATTCAACGGTCACCTCCTTCTTTAAGCCTGCGGCGCTAGCTTCAATGGTTGGCTTCATTCCTTAGCCTGCGGCGCTAGCTTGTGCGGCTAGCTTCGTTCTGAAGCCTGCGGCGCTAGCTTGTGCGGCTAGCTTCGTTCTAAAGCCTGCGGCGCTAGCTTATACGGCTAGCTTCGTTCTAAAGCCTGCGGCGCTAGCTTATACGGCTAGCTTCGTTCTAAAGCCTGCGGCGCTAGCTTATACGGCTAGCTTCGTTCTAAAGCCTGCGGCGCTAGCTTGTGCGGCTAGCTTCGTTCTGAAGCCTGCGGCGCTAGCTTGTGCGGCTAGCTTCGTTCTGAAGCCTGCGGCGTAGCTTGTGCGGCTAGCTTCGTTCTAAAGCCTGCGGCGCTAGCTTATACGGCTAGCTTCGTTCTAAAGCCTGCGGCGCTAGCTTATACGGCTAGCTTCGTTCTAAAGCCTGCGGCGCTAGCTTATACGGCTAGCTTCGTTCTAAAGCCTGCGGCGCTAGCTTGTGCGGCTAGCTTCGTTCTGAAGCCTGCGGCGCTAGCTTGTGCGGCTGGCTTCGTTCTAAAGCCTGCGGCGCTAGCTTGTGCGGCTAGCTTCGTTCTGAAGCCTGCGGCGCTAGCTTGTGCGGCTAGCTTCGTTCTAAAGCCTGCGGCGCTAGCTTATACGGCTAGCTTCGTTCTAAAGCCTGCGGCGCTAGCTTATACGGCTAGCTTCGTTCTAAAGCCTGCGGCGCTAGCTTATACGGCTAGCTTCGTTCTAAAGCCTGCGGCGCTAGCTTGTGCGGCTAGCTTCGTTCTAAAGCCTGCGGCGCAAGCTTGAGCGGCTAGCTTCGTTCTAAAGCCTGCGGCGCTAGCTTGTGCGGCTAGCTTCGTTCTAAAGCCTGCGGCGCAAGCTTGAGCGGCTAGCTTCGTTCTAAAGCCTGCGGCGCCAGCTAGTGCGGCTAGCTTCGTTCTAAAGCCTGCTTCGCAAGATTGTGAGGTTAGCTTCATCCTTTAGCCTGCGGCGCTAGCTTGAGGGATTAGCTTGCATCTTTAGCCTGCGGCGCTAGTTTCAGTGCCTGGCTGGATTCGTTAGCCTGCGACGCAGTTTAGAGCGACTGACTTCAGAATAGCGCCTCCCTACAGGAAAATACACTTCGAAACATGCATTCCGAGCATAAAGCAAAAAAAATACGATAGCCGGGGATCGAACCCCCGATAGCAAGATTGGCAGGCTGACGCTCTAACCACTATACCATGAAACGCTTGGGAGCGCGCGCGCAACAGCCCTTGTATGCCCCGAGGTGACTGCCGGGAAAGGGGAGCCAAGGCAATCGGAGGCAGCACCACTGGCGCGAGTGCAACTGGCAAGAATGAGGAAATTTGTATTTTCTCGCATTATGCAAATTAGCCCTCAGGGACCCCCAAAAATGAATAAAACCGGCCTTAACTTTGTAAACTTGTATTTTATCGAAATTCTGAGAACGCCATCGGAAACAGAAGGGTCGATTCCCCGGGTGACGCAGAATTAGGGCATTTTATGCACGGGAAGGCCCTCGAATCGGGCCTCGAAAGTGACATCCACACACACACACACACACATACGCGACCAAATTATATAAGGCGGGATTAGCGACCTCCCGCCTTTTAGATGCTACACCCTCGACATGAGCCTCGAGGGTTTCCATCGTCTCCAACTGTCCCCTGGCGAATATAATGGACTTCATCTCATTCTCGATGCACAACTCGATGAGGTTCATTCACATAAATGCAGTAGGTGCCTGCGGATAACCTTTTTTTTGCCTATTCCCGGAGAATTACGACGATTAGAGAGACATACAAATTTTTTTTTGAATGAATTTGGGAGTAATGAACGTACTCCAACGTCGGCGGTACCTTTTATCTTTTTATCGAATTTTTCAGACGAAACCGACTCCGTTTTTATGAACGCCTTCGAGAATGGTTTTCGGTCCGTATTTGAAAACGTCCTGTGAAATTGGAAGTTTTAGATACTACGTGCACGACCGTCACCTAATATCCTTCATCACTACGGAGGGGATATCGGTCAGCCCTGGGACTCGCGTATATTCGTCGATAGAAATGGATAAGGTATCTGGAACACTTCCCAGTACCGTTAAAATAGTTATTTCAGAAAAAGTGCCTAGAAAAATCCATCGTAAGTATCTATCTGTGTACGTAAAGTGCGTTGGGTGTGGCGCTGCGTGTGGCGCTGCGTGTCGCTGCATGTCCCATTGCGTGTAGCGCCACGCGTTATGTTGCGTGCTCGCCCCAAGTTTCCAAAAGACTCGCCGCGATACGCCCGTTTCACTGCATCTCCTAATTCCTCGCTTTTCAGTTCGAGCGTCTCCCACAAAGCGATTGGGGGAAATGTTCAGAAGAATGGCCCTTCCCACCTCCTCTCCCACTACCGTACTCCCGCAAGAATTGCAAGGCCCTCTGCCATGCACGGTATTTTTGGCAGAGCTACCGTAATCCAAACAATTTTAGCCATTTTGAGGAGACGTGCGGATGCGCGCCGTATATTTATAACACTCTAAAAGGTATCCTTTCGCTAAAAATGTGAATTTTGAGCTTCGTAGTCTTCGAAACCTGCACCCCACTCGATTTATTCAAATGTTTGGATCGTGCCGGGCATAATAACGCATCTGGTAGGTCCTTTTTAAAGAGATGAGGACGGCATCTGTTGAACCTCCCTGGGGGAGGGGGGGTTCAACAGATGCAGCGGCGAGAGAGGGCGCCCAGGGGAGAGGCGCATATACCTTTTCTTTCCCGCGCGTAATCGATTCACTTATGCCGCCCCTATCCCTTTAAGGGAGTGTGCCAGAGCAAAAAATACCAAAAAAACCACCTTTAAGCGTACGGTCTTTGGGATGAGTGTACGGAGTGTGCGACGGAATGTGGAAGTCACGAATTCCACGCGTACAATAGCTACGGTTTCGGGTTCAGCAAGGGAGCGCTGAAATGGCTGCGGAGTCGGGATCGCGAGTGGACGAGTAGCTATGTACGGTAAGTTCTGCGTGCCGTACTGCGGTACGTGGGGTAGTACGATACCGCATCGAGTACGTTACAGTACGTAGTAGCTAAAGTATCGTAACGGCCCACAGTTACCGGGTTTCACCCGGTAGCCAGCACGATACTGCACCTTCTGCACCTCGGCACGACGCTTCTGCACCTTTTTCCAGGGAAAATTTTGTGATGATCACCCTATTCTACCGTCATTTGTCGTATACCGTATTCTCTGAGGTGAAGGGCAACTGTATGCAGGCTGTGCTCAGTACGTCGTACAGCAAATTACGACTATTCTCCGTCTAGCTCTCGCGCACTCGCTCTCACTATCTCTCTCTCTCTCTCTCTCTCTCTCACTCTATCGCTGTGGGCTTCTCTACAAATACAGTACTGCAATCGTGAAAATTACATTTTTGTAGGTCAAATCGGTGGTATGATGGGGTTGTGTTTTGGAATGTCGCTGATTTCGCTGGCGGAATTGGTGTTATTCGGAGCAAAGGCTGTCTGGATTGCACTTGGTTCTGCTTGGGAATACGGTAAATATCTCATTCCTCTCTCTCTCTCTCTCTCTCTCTCTCTCTCTCTCTCTCTCTCTCTCTGGTTTCTGCCCTCTCTTTCTCTCTGTCTCTCTCGCTCTTCTCTCCTTTTCTAATTCAGTTTTAGTAGGAAAACGCCGGGAAGCTACAGAAGGGCCCTCCGAAGAAACGGCTACGAGAAGATACGATGGAATCACATGCCGGGCCCAGCTTCAGGTAATTTTCGGTATTTTTACGGATTTTTAAGGAATTAGGAAGACTCGAAAGATCCATGGTTAAACTCTTGAGACTGTCCACAAGCGCTTAAAATTTTTTTTAAATTAATTTTCTAGCTTCAAAAACCGGGCCTGGTCCCGCTGCCTCAAGTCCATCCAATGCCTGACGATTCCTCAGGAATCGCTGCTAGCCTGCCCGCTCCTGTCGGCTGTTCTGGTGCGAAAAATGCCGTCCCCGAATGGGACCACTACCGCCCAAGATTTCACTGCCAAATCGCACAAGAGCCGGCGGATAATGAATAAATATTTTTTCAGTTTTGTTTGGTTAATAACACCAGATTAATTACCTAGAAATTAAACTAATTTAAATCTTGATTGATGCATTTAATTAAGTCATTTTTTAAACCCTGTTTGCCTAATTTAATTTGTGTAATTTGTCAAAGTTAAATTTAATAATGGCAATTTTCTGGCTAGAGTTGATAATCTAGTAAAAAAAATTCTCTAGGGTCGAATTACATGTTTTTATTGATAGAACCGTAATTTTGTTAAGATGTTTCGTTATTAAATTTATTTGATTTTCTACTTTCAATTAAGCGTTTATCATGACTTTTAATAGCTATAAACCAATCTCGGTCTTTTCGTGACGTAATGGAATCGTGATCTTTGAGTCGTCGATGGCTCTTCATAGTCTGACGATCGCCCATTTGCCTCGTCATCGTACTCCTCGCCTTTGTCGGATTCGACGACTTCAGGGAGTTCAGGAGCTTCAGGAGCTTCGGGAGCTTCAGGAGCTTCAGTCATTCGTTCCGGGCTATCCTATAGGGACGTGCAAGCTATGAAAATCTCTGGATTCTACCTGCTCCTCCTCCAAAACATCAGCCTTCTCGGCCTGCATCTCCCTGCGCCATTCAGAGATGGCTGGCGGGAGATCGGGTTTGTCGTTAGAATCGGATAGTGGCTCTTTCACCTCTTCGGCCAGAATTTCTCTGGAAAAATAGATTAAATTATTTTTCACTTTCTCTTTATACCTTCTATCGATTTATTTTTGATTATATTTGACTGCCAATTTATCTTAATTTAAATAACCAATTATAAAATACCTAGCGTTTTACTCAACAACATACTTTTCACGATATTCTCTACGCCGATCAGCACTTCCGGTTTGAGGACGAGGCTTCTTCACCAGGATCTGAAGGCGGGTAAAAATTATCTTCTCATACATTAAATGCAAAAAAAATGGTTGACAACCCCAAAAATTAAACTCAAGCAGAATTTTTTCACCTATAAAACACCAAAAATCAACCGGAAAATCTGCACCGACTTCAAAAAGTGCAAAAAGCCTACGACACTCGGGATTCCCAAGCCGTCTCCGATCCAAGTACTAACCGAGCCCGGCGTTGCTAGCCCAGCAGATCGGACGGGATGCCGTGCTTTCAACGTGGTATGGTCGTAGGCGAGGGAAGGGGGATGAGAGGGCACCAAGAGAGTTTGGGTGCTCCGCGGGCTCACAAGTCTCTTCTACCCTTTCCCTTTCCCTCCCTTCGCCTACGACCATACCACGTTGAAAGCACGGCATCCCGTCCGATCTGCCAGGTACGCAACGTTGGGCTCGGTTATGCTGGATCGGAGACGCTTGGGAATCGGAGTGCGCAGGCTTCTGGTGCTTAATAATAGTTTTAGATTTGTTAACCTACCGTTTTAGAGATTTAGATTACTGTAAGAGATTTCGATAAATTTTTAAAATACAGCATCGGCCCTGGATTCCACCGATAAACACAAAAAATTAATTAAAACAGCATCTTAGAGGTTTTTAAGGGTATTTCGGAAATACTATTTCCTTAAACGATCCAACCTTTGACGCGTCCCCAAACATTTGATGCGTTTCTTCGGGCTGGGCGATATCACGGAGGCGATGTGGTGGGGGTGTAGGACGTGGCGAAGGTGCTGGAGGATGTGCTGTAGTCGCCCGTGGAGCCGGCGGATGAGGTCGTTGAGTTTCAGCGCTTTTCCTCTCTTCTTTTTGGGCTTCCAGTCTCGGCATTGGGTGCTAAACCTTAATTCTTAGGGCACAAAATTCGGTGCCCTACCTTATCGTGAAGCAAGGAGATTTCAAGAGGGCAAGGGCAGAACTTGGGATTCGAGCCGCGCTCACCGTTGTCTCCTGAAAATGCCACAACCGTCTGGAGCTTAGGCGTTATCGGGGGGCTCTTCGTAAAAGTCCGAAAATGCGCAGAAATTTAATAGTTGGTATCTTGAAACCCTAAAAAAATTAATATCCAATTTTTTTGCCTTTTTGTATCGGAAAACACACCTTTGTGTTTTTGAAGCGAATGAAGCCTCGGCCTAAGCATACGCAAGCCCCGAAAACCGTGTTTTCTTACCCTTTGGCCCTCTTTTCCCAGGATTTCCGGGTATTCCATCCAATCCTCTGGATCCCTGCTGCCCCATCGGCCCCTCGGTGCCCCAGACGTAGTTCCGCTTTCCGCGCTCGCCTTGGAGGCCGGCTCTGGAAATTGAAAATTCTTTTTAAGGCCTTTCCAGAGTATTTTGGGCGCTTTTTGCCCTAAAAAGCCGAGAAAAAGCACATTAATGGGTACTGGACTGTTAGTTACCTTCCAACCGGCCCTGGTGCTCCCTTCGGGCCAGGTACTCCAACACCACCTGGAGCTGATTTTCCCGGGGCTCCCGGTCGTCCGTTGCGACCTCTGTAGCCGCGCGGACCGACCTGTCAAGAGGAGATTTGAGAAACTACCGTAACCCGGTCACCTCTCCCTCATCACCAATCTCTCCATCTTTGCCGTCTTTCGCTGGGGAGCCTGGGGGCTAAAAATCAAACGATTAGGAATAGACGGGGTGGACCTACGCCTCGATCCCCCTTCTCGCCGGGGAGTCCAGGGGGTCCGGGTGGTCCAACGGGTCCTTCTGGTCCAGCGGGACAGATAATGCATTCCTGCTCAATGCCTGAAATTACGTATAATTTCTCTCTCTTTCTCTCTCTCTCTCTCTCTCTCTCTCTCTCTCCTCTCTCCCTCTCTCTCTGGCCTGAAATAACTTGCCATCCAACTGATCCCTAGCGTCTTCTCCTCTCCTTCCAACCTTCCCCTCTCGTCCCATTCCACCATCAACACCATCCTCTCCTGAAAAATTACGTTATCTTGTACCGTTAATTACATAATTAAAACTACCAAAAACTGGTATTTGATATACAAAAATGCAACAATTACGATATTAATAATACCCTGTGGTCCAGGCCGTCCCGGACGACACTTGATCCATGCCCTCCTTTTCTCGATCGGATGCCACTCGGGCAGATCATCGACAAGGCTCTCTAGCGAGGAGGCGCGCTTCTAAAGTGTTCTCTGATTTTTGATGTCACCATCCCCTTAAAAATACTGATAGAAGGCTCGCGCGAACGCGGCGCGGGCGCGTTGCGTGCCCCAGCTGTTACTAGAAAAGGCCTAGGCGAGGGTTTTTTCGTCGAATTTTCGTTGTTCCGCCTCTTTTTTACAGCGTAACGTCCAACGTATACGTCTTTTGGCGCGTTGCGTCGTTGTCTAATGATGGTCGATAACAGGGTCGATTCGCGCATTCCAGAGCTCCGTCTATAGGCTTATTCTCAGTACACGCTGCGTATTTAGGCGCGCTGCGTAGCTGTCTGGACCTAGTCGATGGCAGGGGTTGATTCGCGGGTTTACAAGTCCCTTTCTAGAGCTTCAATAGAAATATCTCGCCTGTAGTGTGCGAATCCGCATGGATAGCTCGCCTCCGTCGCTGAACAACAGTGGCAGCAGGGCCAGCTGCACGAGAATGCAACCCAATCCAACGAATACTACACCCACAAACCCTGGGTGATACATCGCTAAAATTAAGTTTTACGAAAGGAAATGTTCGTTGTTTTTAGTTTTTCTTTGTAAATACCGCACAAAAAAACGGGCTACGTTTTCGAGGAATTAAAATAACATTTAAATCTGACGCAATTGGGTCTAAATTAGCAAGAATTAACGGATAAGTTGGGATCTAGAGCAAAGAGAAAACGCGGACGTCAGTTTGGGCGCTCGCCGAAACGCTTTCTCGCCAAAAATTGGGTCAGTTATCTTCACTTTCACGACCCCGAAAAACTAGCTCCCGGCTGATCAGTGGCTGGAAAAAGGTTGGGAAGGTTCCAGATTCTAGCGGCTTCTATGCGAAACCTGCGCTAACTAGGGAAATCTTCCACTCGGCATCGAATTGATCATGTTTGATATGTCATTTGACGAGGCTTGACGAGCTGATTACGAATCTGCAAAAAATGAACGGGAACTCCACACGGGAAAAAGTTATGAGGCTTCAAAGTTGGAAAAATGCTCGAAAACGGTACCTTTAGAGGCCTTGTAGAAATTTGAGAAGCAAAGTTTATAAAAAATAAGATAACGCATCTTGTTCAGCAGAAAACGCGCTTTCGAACGAGCTATAAAAGATAAGGTTTACGAAAATTTCTGGGCTACACTAGCTTTTGAAGCGCCCGTTTCCTGGGGAATGACCGGAAAACTGGAAAAGCTTGCGAATTGTAGTAAAGTAAAAAACGCCGAAATCCTAGCCGCATAAAAAACTGAAGCTGCCTCTACAATGAAAAATTCTACTTTTCACCAGCTAAAAATGGCCCTACCAGAGACAAAACTATCGGCATCCTTCAGGCTTCAGCAAGGCTTGAAAAGACGCTAGCCGACGCCACATCGCATCCAAGACGCGTGACGAAGCCGCTTCAAATCAGACAAAGCCAACATTTTCCAAGACCAAGCCAGCATATCTGGGGATTGACTGGGTTTTTTCACGTTTGCAAGCAAACAACTTTATGACATCAAAATATACGCGAAAAGAAGAAGAACAGAGAACATTCGAAGCTACCCGCGCAAAGAAACAACAACAACAAAAAGGAATCAATCGAAAAGCTAACATATTCTGGTAAGTTATTGACGACGGGGCACGGCGTGGATGGACGGTCGCCGGCGCCGCTCATTCCTGCTTCCAGCCGCGAGCCTTAAAAAGACGAAATAAAAACCGTTAAAAGTATACACGTCCAGATACGCTTGGAAAAAATAATATTCAGTGTTTTTGTAAACTTTTTGATAAAATTTAGCCATGAGAAAATGCTAGAAATTTGAAATTTTGTCCGAGCAACCAATTGTTGTCGGCACCTTTTCATCAGGTACTTTCGCAGTATCGGGGGGACCAAACTTTTTTGTATAGGTCTGGAAATGTCTAGTAACTTCACAGCACGTGTTTTTAGTTAAAAATAACTATATCCCAAATTGAAAAACTATCTAAAAGTTTTTAAAAAGCGAAATTTTGGGAAAAATCGGCAATTTTATGGGCAAAAATCGTTGTTTGGTGTCTTGAAGCACAAAATTCGTAGTTTTAACGTTTCGGAATAGTAAAAAACCATTCAGAAATCCTAGGAAGTTCTAAGAAAAAAAGATTTGTTTCCGCCCCAGCCAAAACAAAACAAATTAAATCTAAGCTTTAAAAAACTAGAAAATTAGAAAATGCAAACCTTGATGAGGGCCTCGATGACGGCGGCCTGGTCGACGAGGCCGACCTTCCGGTAGTACTCGAGCCATTTGTGCGCGTCGTCGGGTTGCGGCCCGTATTTATCCTGAAAAAAATCAGATAAATTGAACCGTGCATAAAATTCCTCACCGCTGGCGGGTCGTAGAAATTGAGCGCGACCGGCTGCATGTCGTTCAGCCACGGCTGCAGGATGGCACGTTCTGGAAAACACGATGTTTTGGAAAAATGAAATCCACAAGAGGGTTCTTTGGCATTATCGGGGGGAGGGAGCGAATTTTAACTATATTTTAAGTGGAACAACCAATAAGAAACCTTCGAAAAATGTTAAAACTTTTGAAATTTGGGCGCAAATTAGATTTTTGTATTTTCCTTTTGGATAAGTCTGAAAAGGCCTGGTATCTTAATAAAACGCATTTTCACAACCATTTAGTGAAATAAAACTATATCATAACTAGAAAAACTATCCAAAAAATTTGAAAATCTCAAAAATTAAAAATTTTGGTAAAAAATAGACTATTTTTGGTTGAAAAACTATATTGTTTGGGTTTTTAGTAAGATTTTCAAAAGTTTTTACGGTTCGCTATTTATATTTTTAAAATGGAATTCTAAAAAATTCGTCCACCCCCGATAATGCAAAAGCGCCAGAATAAATTCAAATTCTAACTAAAACCCACGCTGCACTGGCGAGGCGTTGGCGCTGTTGTCTTCGTCGGCGTTCGGCGCGACGGTCTCGAAGGCCAACTGCTCGGCGGTCGGGGGGCACGGCTTGTCGGAAGCCTAAAAAACAAATTTTCCACCAGAAACTAAGTTCATACCGCCCTTTGACAAATCCGCTTGGCGTGCTTGATCTCGTCGGCGCTGCCGGTGATGCTGAAGACGCGGTACGGCTTGTTCTCCTCGTCAATTCCACCAGCCAAACGGATCTCGGCGCCCGTCACGGCTTTCATCTAAAAAAATATATTTTCTGAAAATCACTAAAGAAAAACGGGCCTTTTTCATTATCGGTGGGGCACAACTTTTTATTTTTTAATTTACAGCACTGTACAAGAAAGAATTTAGTTATATTTTACGCCAAAAACCTCGAAAAATTAATTTTATCCAAAATTGAGCCAGTTGGATCGAAAAATTGACAATTGGCAAATTTTAATAAACTTAATTTTACATTTTATATACATTTTACAGCCATTTTTAAAATATTTTGCTTGGGAAAAGCGAAAAACTTTATTTATATAAAAGCATTACGCATTATTCCACTTTAAATAATCAATAGAGTATGTAGTTTGGTAACGCCAGGTCACCCCCGCTAATAGAAAAGCACCAAAGCCAACATTTGAAAATGAAAACGTACCGACGGGATGGCGCGGACGAACTGGACGACTCGTTCGGAGGGGATCTCGACGAACAGCTGCTGCTCGGTGCCGATTTGGCTGCTGCGAGAGCGCTCCTTGCAAAATTGGTGGAAGGCCGACGTTGCCTAGACAGGGAATTTTGCATGCAATTAAAGACATACCTTTTCAAGACTGGCCTCGCTCTGCGACCATACGTGCGCGATGCGCTCGGCGCCGCCGCATCCGCTTTCTAAAAAAATAATGCATTAGTTGCTAAATTTGGTTCTTTCGCATTATCGGCCGACGAAATTTTTTCTAAGGAACCAATTTTGTCTAATATAAATTTAGGAAGCGTTTCAAAACTGCTTTTACTGTTTCTAAGCCCAAAAACTTTACAAATTTTCGTGTAAAACACAAAAAATGAAGCTTTTAGGCCAAATTCTAACTAAAAAATTTCCACTTTTTTAACTGTTTCCATTCAAAGAATAACTAAAATTTGCTGAAAACCAGTAAAACATACTATTACGTTAGTGAGCGTTTCTGAACTTATAGTAAAAAGTTGTTTCACTCCCGGTAATGCGAAAGAACTAAAAATTAAAAAGCAAAATCGCCTTCAAAATTCGAAAAAAAGGTCAAATATTCACTTAGTTTTTTTTGGGTCGAGCAACAAGGCATTAAAAATAGCGAAAATCAGTACCATTCTCCTTGATGACCATCTTGCTGTTGGCGTCGGCGACGATCCGTCTCAACATCGCCCCCACGGTCTCGATCACCGGCCCGAATTCGTCCTGCGGTACCGGAATCTGAAAAAAAACAATATGCAAAAATTTAGCGATTCCCTTACCTGGCGGTAGAAGTCGTATCCCGGCGGGATGGCCGGATCCCTGACTGGGTTGCACGGGCGGCTCTGGACGGGTGGTTGTGGCGTTGGTTGCTGTGTTGGCTGCGGTGGCGGAGACGGCTGCGCTTCTCCCCCGGCCGCGCTCAGCACTTGAAAAATCTCCCGCTTCGCGTCGGCAATCTGCAAAAAGTCAGAAATCAAATGCACAATTTGGGGAGATGCGGTTGCTCATCTTTCCCTTTTACGAAAAGCCATATTTTCAGCATAGTTTTTCGTAGATCAAATTCGAAAAAATACGTAATAATTTTTCTGACAATCGGATTTTGTCAAATACAAAATAGTGAAAGCTTTTATAAATGCTTTTTTACGATCCTAAACGCAAACCAAGCTTAAAATTATTGAGAAACACAAAAAACATCGAAGTTTGATCAAAAAAATGCCCGTTTTTGACGAAAACCCCTTTTTAAAAGTTTTAGAAAGTTTTTTTTTGACAATTACAATACTTTGGATTAAGGAAATAAGCAATTTTAGATAAGCCCCCCCCCCCCCCGCCCGCTAATGCAAAAGAACTAGCTTTCGAAAAAATTTGAAAAAAGTCGTTTTCGGAACTACCCGTTTCGAAAAGCTAAATAGAAATCTAAGAACGCGTCAAAAATGGAAAAAAATTACCTCCTGATCGGTGCCGAGAATTCTGCACTGCACCTCGCCTTGTCGTCGCGCCTGATCGGTCGTTTGCACGTCGATTTGGGCGCCGGTACGGGCCTAAAAAACAATTTGTAAAACTTTTAAAGAAATACCTTGATGTCCTTGATTGTAGCTCCTCGCGTGCCGATGACGCGTGGCACCTTGTCGGCCGGCAAAGTCAGCCAGGCCACTGCTTTGCGCCTTGAAATCTAAATAGCAGAAATAGACACTTTCGCATTATCGGAGGGCAAAAATTTTTTCGTTAGAATCAAATGTTTCTAATATAAATAGCGAAAGCGGTTATCCACTTTCTTTTTTACAATTCCTCAAGGTAAAAACCCTAATCTGAAAACCTTTAAAAAGTCGAATTTTTGGTCAAAAATCCGCCAGCTCTGGTCTAAAAATCCATATTTTGACATTTTTCAACCAAATGTTGTAAAGTTTTCACGTTCGAAAATTGTAAAAACCATTTAGAAACACATTGGTTATTTATACTTGCAAAATCAGAACCTAAGAACAGGCTGGTCCCCCCCGCCTGTTAATGCGAAAGCCCCAAAAAACCCAACAAAATGCACACCTCGGCAATCATCGGCCTGGCCAGCTCGATGGCGCACACGGGCCCTTGCAGCGTGACTTCGCGCAGCTCGGGCGCATCCGCGCAATTGTCTTTTTCGACCTAAAATGAAATTCAGGGAAATCCAACAAATTCCTTACGTGAATTCTACTCAGCCCGCACTCCTTCTCGATGCGCCGAATCGTCTCGCCGCGCGTGCCAATCAGCAGCCCGACGCTGTGGCCGGGGATGCGCAGCTTCACGGAGGTGATCGGGGCCACGGATCCAGTCGACATTGTCAGCTCCTCGTATTCGGCTGCCATACCTGAAAAAAGAAGAATTATAGATTGGTGAGACAAACGGAAAACACGCAAATGGAAGAAAGCAAAAACAAAAGAACGGAAAACCCAGTTTTGCCAAAGCAGCGCTAAATTCGCCGGTAAAAATTCGAGTAGATGGCCTATGTTTTGAAATCCGCTATAATTCCCCCAAAACTCTAGGTTTGGAATCAATAGTAGCGACACAAAAGAAGAAGAAGAAGAAGAAGAAAAAGCAGAAGAAAAGAAGGCGAAAGAATGCCCAAAAAATCGGTAAAAGACAAGGGTTTGTTACGGGACAAAGTTTTTCGTTATTTTCGGTTGTTAAACTCGGCGATGAAAGAAAGGCTTTGGCGCTACTGAGGATGGACCCACTTATAGATGGGAAAATTGCATGTTTCCGGGCTAGTTTTTGCACTGATTGCGCAAAACATGAATCTGAATAATGACGGTTATAACCAACGTTTTTTTGTAATCAGCGCAAAAAACTAGCCCGGAAAGATGCTCTTTTGGCCATATAAAAGTGGGTAAAGCAAACCTGAATGGCGCCGGTGCTTTTCAGATTGCCATTAGGATCAGACTCCAATTTAAGTTAAGTTTGAGTTAACTAGTTGTCTCCTTCAGCAAAAGAAAAGCTGTAGTTCTTCCCACTTTTTGCAATCACCAAGTGTGAAGTAGCCAAAAGTCGAAGTTGCCGATAATTGGGAGGCCCATGAGTCATTGCTTCCCGGAAAGCCGAACTAGTTAGAGAGCAGATTCGTAAGAAAAAGTTTCTGGTTTCATTGATCGCTTAATTCATACGTTTTTAAAAACTTAATTCATTCATTGTCAAAAAAAATTTATAAATTCAAATAAACATTTGTTTTTCATGATTTCCAGTTTTTCAGTTGCGGAAAAGGCAAGCCCGCACGGAACAGCGGCGTTCGGTGGAGCGGGACGGTCGGTACGAGTCGGCCTGTTTTTTTGGCTTATACAACTTTTTGACGACTGAATAAAATTTCACTAAATACTTACCGTTTTCGGAGTGGTTCAATATTATTTAAAAACGTGAAGAAGGTCGGCTTCGGTACTTTCGTATCATCGGGAGTGGGGGGACCTTTTTCTAGAAGTCCAGAAACGTTTCGTAAAGTACAGTCGTGTTTTAATAGCGTTTTTAGCAGAGTTGAACTATATTTTAACTGGAAAAAAAACAATAAAAAACTTACAACATGTTTTTAGTTAGGATTTTTGACGAAAATGGGCATTCGTGCGCGAAAAAATCGATAGTCTTTGGATTTTTAACCAAAATTGATACGGTTTTTGCGTTTTGGAATAGTAAAAAAGTTTACAAGACTTCCTCGATTTAGATTAGAAAAATTTGACGTTTAGAAAAGGTTGGTCCCCCCCTCCCAATAATGCGAAAGCCCCAAGTTTTGGGCGTCTCCGGTTTTGTCCGTGTTTTCAAAGTTTGTAGTGCAGGTGTAACTATATATTACCGCCATAAATCAATTAAAAAAAAAGCTTTATGGGTAGCGCGGCACGGCAAAGAATGAAAATTTGGAACATCTAAAAAAATTTTGGCCATAAAATTCACTTTTTTATCGCTTTTTCTCGGTAGTTTTTGATAAATTTTGCCCGTCAAATACCTTTAACTGCTAGAAAATTATTTATAGAAAATTCTATATAGTCTAAATAGTTTAATCAAGATATTCGTTCATCCACTTGGCCAAATCGGGCTGGGGATTGTCGAAGATGGCGATGGCGGTGAAGACGGAGACGATCAATGTGAAGATGACAGGGAGGCACCAACCAACCAAACGGATGATGAAACGAAGCCACGAGGCATCCGCTCGGATCTCTCGCTTTCTCTGCGTCTCTTCACCCTCTTCGGGATCGTAACCGTGGGTTTCTCCTTCCGCCCAGAGTTCAAAGCCGGTACGGAAGAGGCCGGCGGTTGTTAGGATTAATACCCACAGGGCGTAAACGGCTGGAAATGGGGGTGCTAGCAGTGATTCTTGAGGAGAAAGGTGAGAGAGACGGGAAGAGCGAGAGAGAGGGCGAGAGAGAGAGAGCGTGTGTGCGAGATAGAGTGTGTGAGAGAAAGGAGAGAGAGCGTGAGCGAGAATAAGATAGAGAGAGAACAAACTCACCAATAGTTGGAGTAGAATCGAAATCCACAGGCATTTCTTCGTTTAGGATGGCGCCGAGGAGAAGCTGGGACAAAAGCGCAAGTAGTGTCAAACGGACCGAAAGCGCAGAAGCTGGCAACCACGCCAGCATAGCTGATAGGCTAAAAATGAAAAATTCAGCCAAAATGACCGGCGAAAAACCGATTACGCCATGTAAACCCACATTGCGACGAGGTGAATCGGAACAAGTAGACATGGCGCGTAGAGGGGACTGTTCCGTTGGAGAAGCATGTTGAATGAGATGACCGAACGGGTCAGATGGAGGGGAATTCTGGAAAAAATGGAATTTAATTAGCTACGTACCCCGATCGTTGGACCGTTCGACATCTCCAGAATCAGGACTCTGAGCTCTCAACCCCCTTTAAAGGGATACCCAAGGTTTTGGCGGAAAATATATAGTTATGTATTCCGGGCAGTACAATTGACGCGCGAATTTCGTGCGGCAACGGGGGGCCCATTGCCGCACAAAATTCGGACCCTTTCCCACTTGTGGCGTCCCCATCCGACCCAATGGCTTGCCACTATGGCCTAATGGTTAGCATCCATGTCTACAAAACGGGGGTCCCGGGTTCGACGCCCGCCCGCGGCAAAGTTTTTGCTTTTGAGCTCCGGAAAGGTTGGGCATCCCTTTAAGAAGCCTCAAAATTCATAGCTTTGTACTTGGTATCCTTCCGTACAATCCTCGAGCCGAGTAGCAACATATCGGTGGCATTTGTGGCCAACAGCTTGAACGGGCCGGCGTAAGATCGTCCTGAAACAACCATATTCTAGCCTAATGTGTAGATTTTTCCGCCTTATAAAATTCATATAATACAAATTCCTAACCGGATTTTCCTTTTTGTAGCCCTTCCTCCCGTCGGCCAGCTTTGGATTCGCAGAGAATTGTATCCTAAAAATGGTATTTTAAGGAACTGAGCAGTCAGAATTTTGGGAGCCTAATAATAGCCATTACAGCACACTTTTGGAATTTCGAAAATCCTGAAAATTGGATTTTAAAGGGACTGTGAAGTCAGGATTTACGATCCCAAATTTTCTCAAGGCCTCAAGAATCCGACAAACGTACATATTGCTGCTGTAGGCGGTGAACATGTTGAACGTGCAGTACTGTAGGTCGTTCGGGAAGTTCCGGGTATCGAAACGGCAGGAAGTCCGCAGAGATACGTCGAACTGGAAGAAAACGTTGTGAATTATGACATTGTATGGACCCTAGGGACCGGCAAAATCAGCGCTTTCCAGCGACTAGGTCTAGACAGCTGCGCGGTGCGCTAAATGACGCTCCAAAAACTGTTCTAGATACGCGTACATCGAGGGTAAAATCTACTAGAACGCGTCATTTAGCGTGCTCCGTAGATGTCGGGATCTAGCTGACGGAAGGGGTCGAATTTTAATATTTTTTGGTCCATTATAGGGAGCGTGCCAGCTAGATAATTGGCGATACCTGCATAGCCACCTGTCCATTTGAGGCGAAGGCGAAGAAGAGGTCATCCCAGGGAGATGGGCGAGGACGAGAATTTAGCCTAAAAGGCGTGAATTTTGAGAAAGAGAGAGAGAGAGAGAGAGAGAGAGAACGAAACCTACAATTCCGTAAAGAACAGCTGCGGAACCCAGGGCATTCTGCTGAGCTCGGCACGGCTACGCGAAATTTTGGCAACACCTCCAAAGTCAGTAGGGTTCCACGTGAGTCGACTGTCCTTCCAGCGCTGAAAAAAAAGAGTACGTTAAAGGTAAGTTGAAGGGCGCGGGGGGAAGTGCTAAAAATCGACCCTCTTTGTGGCTAGGTCTGGACGATATTTATCTCCCCCCTCCTCTCTCCCTCCCCCTCTCTCTCTCTCTCTCTCGCTTGATATCTCTCACTCGATCAGTCTCTCTCTCTCTCTCTCTCTCTCTCTCTCTCTCTCTCTATCTCTCCATCTCTCTCCCTCTCATTCAGCACTTCACCGATCTGTCTACACCTAGTCAGCGCTAGGCGTCGGCAGCGGTTTTGCCATTTTAAGGGACGTTGAAAGCAAATCATCACCAAATTCCCACCATAAACATCGATCCGTGCATCGTCAATGTCTGTGTCACGTCATCCTAGAAATTCCTGAGTCTCATGGATTCCCTAAAAATGCACCATTGCCTCCAGATGCGAAATCATCAGATAGGAAGCGATGCTCGTCGGCGTATCACCCCACATCTTCGAGCGGTACGTCGGCGCCCCGAACGTCAGGTTGATGATCCTGGCAAAAATCTGAATTTTCCAGGATGGTTTTTCAACGTTTTTAGTGATAGTTTTTTGTTATTGAATTTTAATTCGACCCTATCTACCGTACTTGTCCTCGAAAACCCGATTCTTCGCGAAATCGTCGGCATTCGGGGAGAGGACGAAGCTGACAATGGCGCCGAATATCGTGTCGAGGGAGGCCATCCCTAAAAACTTATCAAAAGGTTACCACTGGCGGATGAGAGATAAATAGAGATAACGAGAGCGTATTTCCGTGATTTCCAAAAGATTCTCTGCCAGCCTACCCCGTCTCTCGGCGAAGATAAATCCCAAAAAGCGCAAAAAGCCTACGACACTCGGGATTCCCAAGCCGTCTCCGATCCAAGTACTAACCGAGCCCAACGTTGCTTAACTTGGCAGATCGGACGGGATGCCGTGCTTTCAACGTGGTATGGTCGTAGGCGTGGGAAGGAGGGGGAGAGCGGGTCAAAAGAGGTTGGGGCGACACTAACTCGACCACAGTCTCTTGTACCATTCTCCTGTCCCCCTCCTCGCCTACGACCATACCACGTTGAAAGCACGGCATCCCGTCCGATCTGCCAAGTTAAGCAACGTTGGGCCCGGTTAGTACTTGGATCGGAGACGGCTTGGGTATCCCGAGTGTCGTAGGCTTTTTGCCATTTTCTATGCTCAATTATGGCTTTGAATTCAATTCTATATTTTTTGCAAAGGTATGCTTAGAATTAAAGCAAAGTAGTAAGCAAAACGGCAATGATTTCCGAGTGATTGATCGGTTACGTACAGTGCCGATCGTTTTGCCCCCCTGTCCTGTGTTGTTTATAGGGTGTAATCGGATACCGTAGCGCGCTGCTGAGCGCTCGACTGCAGGAAAGACATGGTTTATTCGATCAATGATGAGATTAATAGTCTATTAAAAAAAATAACAATTATACTTCAAATATCCACATCCCGATCGGTAGCCGTTATCGTATCCAGCGCGATTAGGACCTCTTCGGCTGGTTCGCCGGTCTGAAAATGGCATGCTATATTTAAGGATCTAAAAATATCTATTAATCTAATCTAAAATTTACATAATTTTTTTTTGGTAATTTTATACGAATGGCGCATTAAATTGAACTATTTATCTCACCTTATTTCCATTCGAAAACACGCAATTCGTCGGTGGATCTCGAATTTGGCGGCGTCGCGGGCAGACGGCCCACCTGAAAACCAGGGTTTTCTCACTCTTTCTCTCTCTCTCTCTCTCTCTCTCTCTCTCTCTCTCTCTCTCTCTCCTCTCTCTCTTGCCCTACTTTAAGGTATAGAAACAGGGACGTAACGTAATACCGGCCCCGGGGGCCCGGGCCCCCGAAATCGGCCGGGGCCCGAAAATTTCATAAGGGGGGACCCTTATGATTTTCATTTTCTCAAAAATTTTGCTGCCTGCGGCGCTATTTTTTTACTTTTTTTACGGCTATTTGTAGAGCTATGTAACCTTTTTTTTTCAAAAAATTTTGCCTGCGGCGCTGTTTTCTCGTTAATGTTTTGTGGTTTTGGAAAAAATTTTTGGGGGCCCCCCCCCGAAATTTTTTTCTGGCTACGCCCCTGTATAGAAATCATAAATTTTGTCAAAACTCACGAAAACATAGACCGGAACGCATCCCGAAAACCCTCATTCACAAGCGCGTAGATTAACGGGTTGAGGCAGGCCGAAGAAATGCCGACAACATGGCAGATTAGGTATCTAAAGATATCAACATCTCTCTGTCTCACTCTCTCTCCTTCTCTCTCTCTCTCTCTTCTCTCTCTGAATTAGACCTACTGCAACTGTGAGAAGTTGATCCACCCGATTCCGCTCAATAAGTGATAAATATTGATAGGGGCCCACGCCACCGCGTAGGTGAGCACGAGCACAACGAGGAGCAGCATCGCCTTCCTAGAAAATACCCAAATTTTGTGTCAACTTTTCTGATTTCGTGAATACGGATTCAACCTTTCGTACACTTTAGAGCCATTTTAGTTTCATGTTCAAAACCCTGAAAAACGCGCAACGATACAGGCTCAATAATGCATAAAACAGGGCAAAAACAGCCACGCTTCTCACCGATTTTTCTGCTGCATCAGCGATCTTCTGCGACCATCGGCTGGACGCGTCAATTCGCTTCGCCTCCTAAAAAGCCGAATTTCTACAGCATTTTTAGGTCCTCTTACCGTATCGTCGACCCGATTTTCATATACGCATACAGTAGGGCGGCCAATGGCAGGATGTACTGTACGGCCAGCACTGGAAAAATATAGTTATTTTGGCTTCAATCGGCCCTTAAAACGCGCTTTTAAGCGCTCCATACATAAAAGTTGTGAGATTTTCAGTTTAATTGGCGGTTGAAACAAAATTTTTATGTTTTTAGCAGCGTTTCCGTAACATTCTTTTCACGACCATCCCGCAAATGACTTTTTGAAGTTGTTTTTAGGTTCTGGATCCGAAATATTGTGCCTTCAACGGACTTTTAGTGCAAAAACGCGATTTTTTGCGCTTTCGGAAAATCTTCTGGCCCATCGCTTTAATGCCCCCCCCCCCCCTTCAAAACCGTTTTCCCTGAATTCCACCACACACCTATCGACGTGTACGCGAGCTTGGAGAACGGCAGGGTCCACTGCTCGTCGCTCTCCCGGCAGATCAACGGCATTTCACGGCCACAGTGGGTCAGCTGCAAAAAGTTATTGAAAAAGGGCCATTAATTCGGGCGTAACAGTCTCCCCCGCTCCCCTCTGTCAATCTCTCCCGCTTCCCCTCTTTCTCTTTCTCTATCTCTATCTCTCTCGCTCTCTCTCTCTCTCCCCCTCTCTCTCTCTCACTCCCGCTCTCCTTCTCCCGGTCTCTCTTTCTCTCTCGCTGTGTCTATCGTTCTCTTTCTCTTTCGCTCTCTCTCTCCCGAGCTCTCTCTCTCTCTTTCTCTCTCTCTTTCTCTCTCTCTCCCGCTCTCTCTCTCTCGCTCTCGCTCTCCCTCTCCCTCTCGCTTTCTCTCTCTCACTCCCTCTCTCTCCCTCTCTTTCCCTCTCTCTCTCTCTCTCTCTCTCTCTCTCTCTCTCTCTCTCTCTCTCTCTCTCTCTCAAGCTCTCTCTCTCCAGATGTCCCACATGGCTCATTAATTAATGCGGGTGGACCGAAAACGACACGTAAAGGCCGAGAAGATGGAACAAAAAAAATTCGGAGATTACGGTAGAGTACTCGTAGTGCATCGTAAAACCGTAAATCACGATAACTACCCATCAATTGTATCTAACGGCTCGATTTTAGCTAGAAATTGAAACTAGTTAGTGCTGCAAACAGCATAAAAAAGCTTACAATCGACTCGGTCGTTGGCAGGCTCCACGGTACGAATCCGGGGCGAACGGCGCTGACTGCGAAGGCGTATGGAACCTAAAAAATGGGTCTCGAGCAAAGATCCGGAACGCGACGTCAGCAAAACGTTCGGTGTTCTGCACCCGGAAATTTTTCCGGTTACTTGGATTCGCAAAAACGAAGCGGAGCGTCAAAGCTGCGACGCAAGACGGAAAAAAACTACAAAGCACTGACCGCCACCACGGCCGACAGCAGCCAAACAAGCCCGTAGAACAGCAACGGGCCGGAGGAGGAGAGGCGCCTGAAAAGAACATAATTTTACCAAAAAAGTGTTTAAAACCACGTAAAGACCTAGCAGCAAGACCTTTTCGCGGTCAAATGCTTACCATCTAATTGGACACAACGTCAGCAATGCTCGATCCAACGCTATCAAGGCGAGCGTCAACGAGGAGACAAACGTGTTCAACGCCTGGGTGGCTGCTACCTGGAATTCACGGGTTTTAAGGGGAGGCAGGATGGCAAGGCATGGTTCCGGATTTTTTGCTATGGATTTAGTAGGGAGTTTTCACACACGCAAAGCTAGGCACACAACACCCGACTGCCTGTGCTTTGAAATCGAATTTTCATCCGTTCTGGGCTGTCAAGCGGCTGCGTTGCGCGTCGCTGAGTGTGCTGCGTTGCCTATCGCGGCGCGTGTCGCGTTGTGTGTAGGTCCCCTGGCGCGCTGCGTGCGCAGAATCAGCCATATGTAAATTAGCGAAAAATTAACCCCAGGACACCTTGCTAGTCCGTTTAAAGGTAAGAGTACTTTACCCTTCCCCCCCCCCCTACAGCCGAAGGGTCTCAAAGTTTTCGGTATCTTCGCTTATTTTGTCGGGATTTTTGCAACGCCATTCGATAGTGCGCCAAAAAATATACAAAAGGGTTTTAATTCGAGCCTACAAGAACGTAACATAAAAAAGTCATACCAAAAAAAAATTCCGGCTGGACGGTAGCCAAAAATTAAATTTGAAGCACTACCGTAGTTGGCAAATTGCCAAAGCTACAAAACCCACCAATTTACAGGACAAATCGCCGAGTGGCCAGTATAAATTGGCGGATAAATAGAGTGTGGCCGGAGCGGTGAAAAGACATAACGTCAAGTCGGAGACGGCCAGGTTGAAGATGAACCTGAAATGGCTGTGATCACCGTCTTAATCGGGGAAAATTTTCGTTAAAATGACGCAATTTTGGCTTCCTATTCGCTTTAAAGCCAGCGGAAAGTCCGAATCCATACTTTAACCACGATTTTTTGGTCCAACAATTCTAATTCTGTAGCTACTGACGTATTTCTGATATTCCGTAGAGCCGGCGTGCGTAGAAATGCCATGAAAACGAGCAGATTTGCGAGTGCCCCGAACGAGCAGATGACGGCGTACGCGATGACGATGACGTCGGCCTCTGGTTGGCTGCTCCAGTAGTGATCGTTCTGAATTTTAGCCTTTTAGAGCATTCAAGAATTAAAAAATTTTGTGGGCTCAGGATTTTTTATGTTTGATGCGCGAATGATCCGCAAAATCGACAAATCCCTGTTCCTTTCAAGGGACTCGGAAGCTTCTTACCCACCTGAATCTCCTCAATTTCCGAAAAATATTCACAGCTCATCGTCGTCCATTTTGGGCCCGGATTTGACATCGGATTCTGAGTGTAGTGGAGAGAGAGAGAGAGAGAGAGAGAGAAGAGAGAGTGAGAGAAGAGTAGAGAGTGAGAGACAGAGGAGAGTGAGAGAAAGGAGAGAGTGAGAGACAGAGAGTGAGCGAGAGGGAGAGAGAGGAAGAGGCGAGAGAGGAAAGAGAGGAAGAGAGGAGAGAGAGAGAGAGAGAGAGAGAGAGAGAGAGAGAGAAATAAAATAAAATAAAATCGAGTAACTTTTTTGCGTGGCATATATTCTTGCTCTGAACATCAAAAACCAAGAACTGGTTGATGACCAGCCGTGTACATGCCAAATGCCAAAGAACACCAAGGAATAGCGGCCTTTATAATCGACAAGTAATCTCGTTGAGTATTAACAAGGGGAAGAGGAGAAAGAGTGAGAGAGAGAGAAAGAGAGAGAATGACCAGATGAGAACGAGTCAGAGATCAACTATGACATTTTCCGAACCAAATATATTATTTGGAGTTTTCCTCTCCCCTACCCAAAAAAAGTCAGCTGGAACATTAAATCGGTACTAAAAGTTTCAGATTGAACCAATTAGAGGTATCACTTTTATCCAATTAAACTAAGGGCATAAAGAGCACCTCTAGTTGAGCTAAAAACCACCCAAAATGACCAATGACCGGGTAAGGGCTCAAGTAGTGAGCACGAGAGAGATGAGGACAGAGGAGAGGGAGCCTACTGACTGACTGGCAGAATGACCCCACCCTTACATATGGGACCTAAGGGGGGAGAGGGACCCCTACGGGACAGCTGACAACTAAACGGACACTAAATGGAGAGGGTGTGTGAGAGAGAGAGAGAGAGAGAAGAGAGAGAGAGGAGCAGTAGAGGAAGACAACCGACACAATCACCACTTACACACACCACGACTAGCCGACTCACTGAGTCATTAAGCTCGTGAGGATGAGGGGCAATTTCTGGTCCGATTGTGAGCTCGAGTCTCGGGTTTCGGGTCAAAAACATGACAGGGAAAGCACAAGGGAGAATCTGTATTCAAGGTCCTTTAAAAGGGACTGAAAGTTCATTTATTGATTCTTCGCGGTATTTTATTTGGTGATGAACATGAACCAGACTTATTGCGTCAAGGTTGCGAATGGCATCATCGTAAATCTTATCTTAGTGTCAATGGGCTGCGTTAAAACCCGCGTCGACCACACCGCAATCACCATACATATGCTGAAAATAGGTGCGAAAAGTATTCTTCTTGAAATTTTCTAGCAGTAAAAAAAATGGGATACCAGTCCTTAAAGGGATACCCAAGGTTTTGGCGGCAAATATATAGTTATGTATTCCGGCAAGTACAGATGACGCGCGAATTTTGTGCGCCAATGGGTGCCCGTTGCCGCACATCTTTCGGGCACCTTTTCCTCTTGATAGTCCTCCTCTCAATGGCTTGCCATTATGGCCCTGACTGGATAGAACCAGGCCTACAAAACAGTGGTCTCGGGTTCGACCCCGCCCGCGGCTTGGTTTTGCTTTTGGAGCCCCAGGAACGGTTGGTCATCCCTTTGAAGGACAATACGGTCAGGGTCGCTTAACGGGGGGTGGGCGTAATAACGGGGGTGGAAACCATTTTTCCCCTATCTGTCGTGTTGATTCAAGCATGCCATCGGATAGAGCGCCCAAAAATATACTAAGATAATTAATTTCGGCCCGAAATACGTATTATCAAATTAATTATTGAAAAAAAGCAAAATCATCGGCTGGTCATGAGGTAAAAACCATAAAGTGATCATCAATTTCGGCGTTTTCAGCTTTTTCGTCGGGTTTTCATTAGGGCCATCGGATAGAGCGTCGAAAATTATATCAAGAGATTTATTTTCAGCCCGAAATACCACATTTTAAAATTATTACTTTATTAAGCCAAAAAGTTTAATCAAGTAAAAATCGTTAATTTAGGTTTTTTGGACTGAAATTAAACCTCTAAGTATAATTTTCGACGCTCTATCCGATGGCCTTTTCAAAATAGCATGATATTCTTTATAAATACAAAAGTTGTGTCCACCCTGTTATTTGTCCCCCCCCCGTTAAGCGATCTGGTTCTTTAGGATTTCCGGGGGGAAGTATTTCCGGGGGCAAGCCAAATTTTTCCTGGTTTTCCCGGTTGACTTAGTAATCAAATATAAAGTGTTTTCACATTGTTTTTGGTAAATTTTAACTATATTTAAAGTAGAAAAACCTTTCAAAAAAGTTAGAAAAATGTTTGAAAAAGTCGAAAATTTAGCCTTTCCCCCCCGCTAATCCTAAAGGTTCTATAGGATTTTTCGACCTAAAATAAAATTTTTTAATTAAAAAGTGTGTAGTTTTTATGCTCAGGAATAGTTAAAAACCATTTAGAAACGCATGCGCTATTTAGAAAAAAATTTAGGCTTGGGCCGAAAAAATTTGGTTCCCCCCGCCCCCCGGAAATACTTCCCCCCCCCCCGGAAATCCTAAAGAACCAGCGATCTTTACCCAACAATACCTTGCGCCCATAATTTCCACCAGGTCGCAGCCGGTCGCTGGAATAAATTGCCACCACGGCCATCGGAGACGTCTTGGGCTAACGAATTGCAAGAACAGCGTCCTGACGGCCATGGCGAGTAGCGCAAAGGCGTTGGCGATTGTAAACTATTCAGCGTTTAATAATTAAGAAAACACGATAGTTCCCCTTACCCATACCATGAAGCTGGGCAAGACACGAACCCTCTCCTCTGAGCTGGCCGTTACCTTAATTTACCTTTTTTGCGATCAAAACGAGCCAAAATCACTTTTTTGCGCCCCAACCAGGTGGCGGCGGCGCTGAAAGCGAAAGTAAGCACGCTTGAATGTTCGTGAAAAATCGTGTAGAAGAGTTCATTTCGGGGCCCTTCATAATTGTAGAAAACGTCCCTAAACAATCCAGGACGCTTCTTAAAGCAAGGTCTCATTTTAAATTTGTACCAGGGTTGAAAAACCGCTTCGCGGCTTTTCAACCCTGGCCCCGTCCAGGACCTGTGAAAGTCCTTAATTTGCATGTTTCTTCCTGAATTCTAGCAAGAAAAAAAGTGAAAAACGGCTCCTCTGTCCCTTTATATAGGCTCTTCCTACTTCCGGCGCATGCTAATTTCCCCTAACAAACAGGGTTTTACAAAAACCTATTTTTAATAGCGAAAACCACAATTTTTCAAAATTTTTATGTGTGTGCAGTCGATTCCGGACCATTCTAAACCTTTTGTCGTTTCTTCCCTATCCAAAAGACCCTTTCCCAAGGCTGTAGGAGCGGAACATCCTAACGGAAGTGCATGCAAATATACACACACACACACACACAAACACTATTTTTTTATATATAGTATATATATAGGATTCCTCTAAAGCCCCTGCGTGCCACAGTAGTGCCCGATTTTTTCGGATCTAGGTATCTATCGTAAGCTCTCGGAAAAGCGAGTCTAGCGTGCCTTTGCGGTTACTTGGAATCACCAAATATTTTTCTTACAATTACCAATATTTTTGCTAAAAGGCCAAGTTTCTGATGATTTTCGAATTTGTGAATTTTCACGCCTTTTCGTTTTCGTGAATTTCCGACGACAACTTTTTGGAAGCCACGTTAACAAAAACACCGTTTGGGTTAGAGTTTAGCAACCAGTCAACCACAGCTACAACCTGGCGAGGGGGGCGAAGGGCGCCCCAGGCCGCAAAGGAGGGGAATGGCCTGTCACAGCACGGGCAGGCAGTGCGCGCGGTCCCTACGTCCATAGGGTGTACACGTTGGGACGAGTACACGGCCCCTCCCTGAACGTGCGCTTTAAAGGGCTGCCGACGGCATGTGTCGATCCCCCCTCATCAACAAATTGGCAAGTAGCGAACAGGGGAGAGAGCGCGCCCAGGGGAGAGGCGCAGAGACATTTTCTTTTCCGCGCGTAACCGATTGACTATGCCGTCGGCATCCCTTTAATGTGTGGAGTGTCTCAATTGGTGCTAATAAGAAAAGTTTAATAATGAAATATGTGTGAATTTTTGTATAAATTAGAAGTGTAATAATGTGTAAATTTGTATAATTAAAATAAAATGCTCCCACTGCAAGCAGGGGAGTAAAACGAGCCGAAGCCCGCGGAAGTCCCACGAAGGGATTGAACTCGCAAGCGAGCAAAAAACCGACTAAGCGGTTTGAACCAAACCACGAGGGAATGGCGGGTGCTCTCGATAGAGCTGAAAGAAAAATATAAAAGGATGGCCTGTTTCGACCCTAAACCAAGACAGGCTGAAGTAACATCAGGGTGGGTCTCCTCAGTTGGATTCCCTGATGTTCCTAGTGTAAAATTGAAAGGGTAATATAGAAGAAATGGAGAAAAGAATTTTAGATAATTTAGAGTTAAATTTGTCTAGTTTATTATAGTTTTTAACTACTTTTTTACTCTTTTCACTTTCTTCCTATTTAGATTATATCTATCTTCCCGTGATTGGGGCGGGCAGGGAGGCCGCGTCGATAGGAGGGGTATGTAGCCTAGCGTAATAGGGTGGACGGGTGAAAGAGAAAGAAGTAAGATTTGAAAGGAGAAAATTGTGAAAAGAATGAAATGAGAAAGTAAATACAATGGAGAAGGTAGAAAATTTGTTAATTTAGCTATTTAGTGTTTTGTTTTAGTTTATGTATTATATGTTTAAGGTTGGAATCATATTTTAGGCTAAGTCCTGGGTGCTTTTTCATAGTTTTAGTGAATAAATTTAGTAGAATATAAATAGGATAGCCATTTTTAACTAAATGTGTGAATAGTTGCTGTAAATGTTTAATAAACGGGTCTAGATTCGAACATTTTCTAGCTATTCTGATAATTTCGCCTTCCACGCAGCCATGTTTGATTGTGTATGAGATATTGGATAAGTAGTTAGGCATGCGTGTAACATTAAAATGATAGTCTTCTACTTTGTTGTAAAGTTCTGATTGTATTTTACTGTCTTCCACATATATTTTTAGGTCTAAGAAGTTACCAGATGTGGATATTAGATTAGTTTGTTC